AATATTACTTTTATAAATATTACTGTTATTATTATATACACTATATATTGCTGCATTTTATATGTTGCAACAACAAAAATTTCTAAAACAATTTTGTTAATATTGTTTACAATGATTGAGAATTACTTGCTTATCTCGAATAATCATAAGAAGCTAAGAAGATAAATTTTACAAACGAAGATTAAAGCATTTTATATGACGAAACGATATAGTATTTTCTTATCGATTCTTATCTAGATGTGACAGCGACGTTAACGAGTGCGTGGCAAAGGGTGGTCCGTGCCAGAACGGCGGTGTTTGCGTAAACGTACCGGGCTCGTTCAGGTGCGTATGTCCGGACGAGTTTACCGGCGAATTGTGCGAGAGCTTCCGGTTGATTACTTGTGAAAACGATCCGTGTAAGAATGGCGCGACCTGCATAGACTTACCGAATCCGATAACGGATAACAACTTCACTTGCACCTGTATGCCTGGTTTCGACAGTCCGACCTGTGACACGCCTTATTGCATCACCAAGAAGTGTCAGAACAGCGGTAGATGTGACTTCCTGTATCAGGTAATTTATTTGCGAGAGATATTTAATAGGAGAATTTTAAAAAGAGAGTACACAGTTTTAAAACAACTTGCGCAAATTTATTAAATTCATTAAATTCTCAAATGTCCATTTATGTTATCGCATAAAATAGACGCCAAGATGCACTTGCATCCCCGGTTTCACCGGTATGTATTGCGAAATAAACATCGATGATTGCGCACCAAATGCCGAGGGTGAAATACCTTGTAAAAACGACGGCAGATGTTACGACGGGGTGAACAACTATACGTGCGACTGCCAAGGCACCGGATACACAGGTCCCAATTGTTCCATTGACGTGAACGAGTGCGAAACCTTGGAGATCGATTGCGGACACGGTAAATGCGAAAATCTGCCTGGTATCTATCAGTGCATCTGCGAACCCGGCTATTGTGGCTACAATTGCGGCATGATGGATCCCTGTCGAGAAGTAAGTTTGCATTGTTTTTTTCTTTTTATACAACAAAATAGTGAGAGAAAAAGAGAGAAAAATTATGAAAAAAATATACTATAAACAAGAGAAATAAAAGTGATTGAATATAAAACTCGATCTCGTAAAATATTATAAAAATTCTTTAAAATATTATAAAAAAAAAAAAAAAAAACGTAAAAAGTTAAAACTGAAATAAAAGTAAAATTGATGTGTATTCACTCACGTTTTATTTTTACTTGATGATATCGTTGTTTCGGTATTGCATTTAGAATTATTGCTACAATGGTGGCACGTGCGAATGTTATGATGCGATTGGTGGATACCAATGTCGATGCGCTCCCGGATATAGAGGACAAAATTGTACAGAGGTAAGATAAAATTTAAGGAGGAAAAATTAGGCTATATATGTATATAAGATATGTAAATAAGATATAGACAAAACTATACATGATGACTAATTGTGAATTAAAACTGGCATAAAAAATTTAATATCATCTGAATTATCTCACACTGTTTTATATGTATTTTTTATCACACACATTTCTATAAAACATTATATTTTAATAAACA